CCACAGGCTCCTTGCTTTGACACTGTGTTGGTGTTCTTTCAAGTCCAGGGTCATCTTAGCTTGCCTTGTCCTGATACCATTTCACACCATGCTGTACACTGGCCTAGGGTGATTTGGTAGTGAATGATTCCCTGTCCTTGGATTTGTTAATGTAGCTTGGGTGTAAGTTTTCCTTACATTCCTTCATTTGGCTGTGACATTCTTAAGGACAGAAACACAGTAGCTTCATCCTACATGCCCTTGATACCAAAATACTGAACAAATTTTGCAGTTGATAAACTAGTTCACTTGATAAGACTTATGTCAAGCTTCTAATTAGAACAATATTAATGGAGTTTAAAAGCAGGCTTATTCTGTTGTTCATTGTGTTACCCTAGCACTGATGATTCCAAGTACTCTTTAGATGTTGTACTGAGGGATGTGGTTTAGTGGGGACATTGGTGCTAGGTGGACAGTTGGACTGGATGGTTTTGGAGGTCTTTTCCAAGCTTGGTGATTCTGTGATTCACACACAAGCCAGATGTAGACAGAATTTAGCAAACTGCTTGTTTAGATCAGGCTACCTGCAATTTAGACCTTTCTTTTTTTAAAGTCATTCTCCTTTCCTGTACCTTTTGAAAGCAAGTTACTTGTAAAAGTAGTAGATCAATTCTCTCCCTTTTAAATGTCAGCATTGTCTTTATTCATCCAGCAAAGCAGCTGAAGCCTTCTAGGCTGCTGCTGTTTATTTGCTGTTTTATTCAAAGGGTTCAGCTTTTCTCCATTTGTCGTACTGTGTTTGTGTATGACTTGACTTTTTTTCCCTTCAAATTGTGACCTACCACATTGTTTTCTTTTAACCTTTCTCAGTTGTTTGCTCTTTGTCTTTTTGTATCTGTCATCTGAATTGAGAGTAGACTGGTATCCCAGATGGAAAGCATTTTGTTTCCTGGTCTGAACAACCATTATTCTCTTTTTCCACCCTGAAGGAGAACTTCAAGGCTTTCATTTTTATCTCTGCTTATAGACTTCCACAATATTGGAGGTCTAGAATTAAAAAATTTCTCTGTTTTACAATACTTTTTGGAAAACTTAAATACTGTTGAAAACCCCCTTAAGGGATCTAACTGAAAGCAGATTGGAAAACTTTGGACGGAGTTGAGAATACATTTTTTTTTTTAAGACATATCTTTCTCATGCTTAGGTTATAGTGTACATAATAAATTAAAACCTCCCAAATTGGTTGTTATGATAAGCAAATGTTTGACCATATCTTCTTTTTCAGATGATAAAGCTCTACTATAAACTGATGGTGACCTTTAAACCAGCTGCATAATATCTCTGGTGCCACAGTTATTTTTTTTATGAACTAAGGATTTTTAGTGCATATGGAACAGAGCTTTTTTTCCAGCCTTATTTCATTGATCCTTATTTTATAAAGGGTCACTGCATATTATTGTACTTTATACATAAGTAGATTTTAACGTCAGAGGTGACTGAGTTTATGCAACTCAAATTCTGTTGTTGGACGAACCAGTGTTTTTATTACCTTCCAACAAATAGAGTAATTTTGTATTTAAGTATGTCTTTCATTGAGAGAGCCAGGCTACTTTCAGAGATTTAAAAAAATATATATAAATATGAGAAAAGTGGTAATAAAGATTACCTCCCTTTTTCTTTTGGTAACATTTACATGTGGTAGAATATCTATTTAAAGAACTCCTCCCCTCTGTATGCAGTTGTACATCTATTAGCCCTTTTATTAGTATGAGTGCAATATGTAATAGGAATATTGAAAAGAACAGGCAACTACTTTGAAAATCTAGTCTAAGCTGAAAGGATAAATTAAAGAGGAGAAAATCCAATTGCATATCATACTGTTCTTTGTTTTATAACATCTTCAGTCTTCTTTGTCCAACCAAGGATAAGAAGAAAAAAGAAAGTGCTGTATATTAATTGTGCCCTCAGTTCAGGATGTGTCTGAGCTGGCAGCAATATGGGGAAGACAAGGTTCAGGTCCCTCACCAACTTGCTGAGTAATGCATTTCTTTTTCCAAATCTCACTCGTGTCACTTCCAACCCCCCTGCCACGTGCAGGGCCACCGATCTCCATATCCACCATACAAATTAACAAAATGATTTAATCTTATATTTTGTATTCTGAAATATGATCTAGGGTGCTGCTCTACAGCTTGCTTGTTGCCACAGTTTAAAGAAGTTATACGTAGGTGAAACTACTGAAGAGGATTTCTTTTTGTACATAGTGTCTCCACTCCTAAACTGAGTGGAGATCTTCCGTTGACCTCCATGAACTTGGACTGAGCTTCTGGTTACTTTCCAGGCTTGAACTGTTCTGAACATAAAAAAAAAAAGTCTTTTTGTCTTGAGCTCTGTCTTGATAATTGGTGGTAATGGGAAATGAAATGCCTGAAAAGAAAAGAGCATTTATTTGAGGCTTCATTGGAGTGGGGCTGCATCAAGTTAAAAGGCTCCAGGTGTGCATAACATTGAAACTTGTCTGTGCAGTTCAATCACTGGGAAAGTGGCATTTATCAAGGACATAACTTCAAGCTTGTCTGACTGCAAATATGGACTGTCAGAAAAGATAACTTAAAGTCCAGTAGCAGACCCTGCAAAAAAAACCAAAAAGCTACTTTTTTTCCAGAAAAAGAAAGTTCAGTGCATGACAGTGTGAGGTTTTTGTTTTTTAAGTACAGTAAATGATTGATTGTTCCATTTGTTTCTTAACACATTTGAGAGCTGGATGTTTGGTTTTAATGATTAGCTTTGAGAATAGCTTTTTAGTAACTGGAAAGGTAAAAATTGAGCTGAAAGATTTGAGTGCAAAGCTTTAGATTTTGTTGTGTGTGTTTTAGTTGATACTTTCACCGGGTGTCGTAGCTTTTCCTAATGACATTTTCCTCTTTGCTTTCCTTGCTGCATTTTCATCTCTCAGCTTCTCAGTTTGACAAATGTTGTTCCTGATTTTGTTCCTGCTTTGTTGAAATTGCTGACAGCTTGCAGGGCAGTGATGAATGCCTGCACATCCCCCCCAGAGTGACTGGGGGTTAAAGCACCTTTGTGATTGGGAAATTTGGGATACATTCCCACCTGCCAAAGGAAGGAGATAAAATTAGCACTTATGTTTACTTCTACCCAAAGTTTCTAAGCTGTGTCTGCACTGCTTGTTGACCCTTCTCTATTTGTATGCACTCTGACATGTTGGCTCTTTGGGGAGGCGTGAATTTGGTTTTTTGTTTCATCTGCAGTATGGTTTTATGCTCATATTTAAATAACTGTTCAAAAATAGATTTTGGGAAGAAGAGGATGGATAGCTCATTATGTGTGAAATGGTAGGAGCCATGTAAGTGCTGTTTGACTTCAGTATAGCTGGGATTAGGAGGAATCCTGTTCAGTCCTCTGATTGACAGACAAATTCTTTTTCAGCATTGACAAAATTTAGGCTTTCAAGAGGTCTTCAAGGAAATCATGATGAAGTTCTCCCCTGTGGACTGCCAATATATCATTGTTTGATTGTTCTGTGACTTATATTAAGTGATGTTGTGTAATCTAGATGCAGGTGCATGTGGCAGAGCAGCAAATGGATGCTCTCATTCCATGGAAAAAAAGAGAATTTCATGTTTAGCAACACTTTTCAGGAGCAAGGAAGGAAGGAATGCAGTTTTCTCTTAGAAACTCCTCTCAATTTTAAAAGTTGGAGTGCCCCAAAGCTATTTCAGGGTCATTCTTGATTTGGAGGCAAGCACAGTAATACACTGTTGATGTATGTTCTTTCAGTATAGTTAATATTTACTGGTATTAAGGGACCAGACCTTAGCTTGGATGTCTGCTTACTGTATCTTCTTGCTTCTCATTTTTAATGTTTAGCTGACAGGTTTGCTACAAACTTAAATCCTGGAAAGCAAGCAAATGCCATATTTCACCAGTAGTATCTTAAATTATTAGATACTTGATTTTCTTCAAAAAATTTAAATACCTGCTTTTCTCTGTAAAAGGTGATGCACAGTAAAATAAGCTATGCTTGCTGTTATTTCTAATTCATTTCAACATCAACCTTGAAGTAAGGGATGCTGCTGGGGAGCGCTGGATCTTTCTAAGCAATTGTAGAAGATTTGTGAAGTGTTTAGCAATAGTAATCTGGGAGAGATCCAAACTGATAGTGCTGCTTTAATACCTTAATTTGTCCTTCCTGGTACATTTTGTTCATGGCTTTTTTTTAGGGGACAAAGATTAATTAAGTTTCTCATTCTAGCGCCCACTGGATGGCAGTCTGTTGAAGTGCCCTGTAAAGAGCAGGGCAGTGTTGCTTATGGCTTGTACACGATGTTGCATGTCTGCATTTTCATCCCTGGAAGTGTTCAAGGCTGGCTTGGATGGAGCTTTGGTCAACATCAACATGAACTAGTGGGAGGAGTCCCTTTCAACCCAAACTACCCCATCCCAAACCAATTGTAAACTCCTTGCTACTTACATATAATGCCATGATCCCAGTCTGGTGCTTGTGTAGAATTATTGTCCTTTATTTGAAACTTGTTAAGCAAACATTGTAAAACCAACCCAAACCAAAACACACCACAAATACACTAGAAACTGGAGTAATGTTTCCTGGGTGTTCATGTAATGAAAAGAATAAAGATGTTGAAACAACATTGTTAGTATCTTAACACTTTTCCACACTTATAATCCTTTTAGTTTGATACCTTTTGCTTTAATTTATTCAACAAATGATATTTCAAGTAGCTTGTCTTAAATGTATGTTCATGAGTTTTGAAGACTGCTCATTAGATTTCAATTATTTGCATACTGAATCCTCTCTGTATATTGAGTTTTCTCTTAAGAGTACATATAGTGAAACAACAATGAAACAACGACTTTTCTACTTTAAAAGAATTTGTGGATAGAATTGTCCTGGTATTCAGATATTCCTCCAACTTAAGGGAAAGGTTCTGAGAGGTGCATGAAATGACCTTGGGAAGTTGTCATGTGTGTTTTCATTCCAGGTATCAGCAGTGGACTCCTTGGAGGGTCCCCTTCTTCAGGTGGAGGGATTGAGTGATCTGAGACTGGAGCTCCACAGCAAGAAGATGAACATGCACTTAGTCCTGATAGACGAGTTACACCGTCATCTTTACATCAAATCAACTAACAAAGTGGGACAACGCAACAAGGAGAAGGGGAGAATAAGGTTGGTTTGATGTGATGCTAACCAAGGGCAATGGGTCTCCCTGTCATCAGCAGAAGCTTTCTTGGGACAGTAACATCAATTGGAATTTTCATTCTTAGAGTAGATTTGTAAGCAACTTTCTCTTGCTCGTGGCTGTGAAGATCCTGAGACCTCCATGTATTCTGATGCTCTTTGGAGCCTTCGAGCAGTCTGTTCTTTTGCTTAGTGATTCTAATGTTTTTTTGCTGCTTCTCACAGAATTATGATGAGGTCAGTTCCTTTTAGCATTCTTTCCCTTCCTTGATACATATACCCTTCCCACAAATGCCATGATAGTGAGGCTCTCAGGTCAGGCAGAGGGAATATCACAGAGGAGAAGTTCATCTTTTTTATCTTGCTGCCAGGGTTTAAAAAACTTCCAAGTGATCATAAGGTTACTAGCCAGAAGCCACAACATTGAAGCGCCCGAGCAATGTCTTAGCTTTGTAGTGTTCCAAAGATGTTTTAAGTATGTTGAAACACTTTACTTGGTTGATGTTTCTGATCAGTGGGAATTCAGCTCAACTGGTACTTTTTCCTAATTTTGTAAATTCTAAATTTGATGGCAGTAACTTTTTTGGGAGGGAAGAAAGGAAGATACTGGCTAGAAAAAAGAGTGACTGATTGTCATTTTTTGTAGAGCAGGAGAGATAATAAACAATGATGGGGAGCAACAGAGGAGTCAGCATATAATTAAGATGCATAGAAAAGATAAATTAGCATCTTATTATGTGGAAGGAGGAATTAAAAAACGCTAACCAAAAACAAGAGGAGAGATAGTAAGTTTCATTAAATAAATTTGTGAAACTAAGAATTGTTTGAAGTTGAAGTTTCGAGGAAAGGGAGTTGTTAGCAAGGCCTCTCTCTCTTCCTTACTCATCTTGTTAATTAAAAACAGACAAAAAGCTTTCGTGTACCCAGACTATGCAACTACTAATTAACTGCGTTTTTGTATGACTGCTACAGGGGCACTTATCTTTTTCTTGCTTTGTCTTTTTCCATATTCCTTGTTATACATCACTGATACGATATTAATATGAACACTTGGATCAAGGACAATCTTGTAGCTTCATTTTGGTGCACGGCCCTAGACTGCTGTCAATTAGGATGCAATTATAGTTACTTAAAATCAACACAACAAGTGTGCTAGATCTAGCAATGCTAATCTGGAATGTGAAGCCAATTCCTTTAAGTGTGGCATTGTGGATATGTAGAGTGTAGGTGGATAGTAAGGTTAGCCCTTGTTTCTGCATATTTCTGTAAGTAATTTGACCTCTGTGGGAATACACAAAAACTCATTAGAGGGAGCCTTCTCTGTTTCTTTATCTTAGAAATGATTTCTTGCATTTGTTCCCCTGCCATATCCACCTTTATGGCTTTCATTATGCAGCTGAAGCAATACAATGTATTCTTGGCAAATTATACTATATGAACTATGGAAATGACCAAGTCTTTCTGCTTTCAGAGTAAGAAGGTTGCTTTGGAGAAGGGTTTATGTAGATGTACACAGAACAGGAATTTGGAGGGGAAGAGAAAGTGAATATTGCTAGAGGGTGCTAGAAAAGCTTGAAGGAGTAAATAGTTTACAAAGGCTGTGGAACTGGGGCATCTCTATTCCATATGTGGTTTTCTAGGAAGATCATAACAATTCTATGTCAATATTTTTATCAGGAGTTAATTGTACTGGAGGTGAATGTTGCTGTGGCCACCAGTCAGAGAAATCTAAAGCTGTAATAAATTCAGGGTGGCTTTGGGTTAGCAGGTTTTTGTTGCTGATTCAACAGTGTTCCCTCATCATTGCTTTTTGGCTTTTGTTGTCTTTCAAGTATATTTACACATTGTCACTTGTACCCATCTATGGACTTGTGCTTTAATTTAGGTGTCATAAACCTCTTTATCAGAACTGTTACATTTATCTCTTTTGCATGCACATTTAAGAAATAATTATATTTCGTCAATGAAGATTCTACGTGACAGTAAAGAGTTTGCTTTAATTTTTTCCCTCATACAGTTCGCTTGTGAAAGATGCTTCTTCTGTACCCCTCATGGATGTTACTAACTTGTCTACACCTCGAAAGTTCCTTGAAACTTCCCAGTTCAGTACTCCTGGAAGCTCCAGCAGTGAGTATTTCAGTCGCTTGTGTTCCTACCTGGCTTATTTTGTAGTACTTCAGCTGGTTTTTTCAGGAGTAGTAGAGGGTATATCTTCCCCTCTTCTTAGATGTCTGCTAATGGGAGTCCTGAGATAAAAAGATACAAAGAAAATTTGTAAAATACTGTGAAATGAGAGAGTGGTAAATCCAGGGGCAGAATTCAGTTATATCTGCAGGGTTTTTTTGCAAGTAATCCTTATTCATCTTCTTAAATTAGATACACTTTGTTTTCTTTGTCTGTTCTTGTGTTGATCATATCTGTGATATTTAGGACAAGAGATGTGCAGTCAGTTCAGTTTCCATAGAAGTCTCCTCTATATTTTATGTAGGCAAGCAAGTATATGTAGATATCACAAAGTATTTTGTTGTGTTGGAGCCCAAAGGTCAAAGCTTTTCCTTGTGGCAACTTTGTAAGTTTGACTAGAAAAGTCCCTAGACACAGGATTAATCTAGTTGTCTTTATATACCTGATACAACAGATACTAAGCAAAATACTCAGATATATTTATTTATTATTATTTTGTATGAAGCTTTGAAAGTACTGCACAGATGGGGAATTAATCCTTATATTGTTTCAGTGGATTAACGTGTGGATGTCCTTGTTCAACAAATGAATAAAATGAAGAATACAAAAGTAACCTACATCTCTTTCCCACTTGCCTCCTTGTCAGTCTTCCTCAAATTGAGATAATACTTTTTAATCTCCTCACCCTTAACCAGTTTTTTCCTTATTTTTGTCAGCTTGAGTTTGTTGTTTCATGCCATACTTGCCTCCTAGCCTCTCTTGTGTGATCATTCTTCTCTTTTGCTTGTTTTTGTTACGTAGCTGTATTCCTCTTGAGGTGGCTTGTCTCAGTCTGAAGCTGTAGTTCTTCCTAGTGGAGGCTTGTTCATCATGGAAACCTAGGATAGAAAGCATGCAAAAATTCTGAGCTTTATCAGAATTCTTGTACTTAACCCATGTAATCAGTGAAGCTCAGTTCTTTCCAAAATCACATGGTTTGGGGAGATAAGGGAATAAACCATGCAGAGCTGAATGCTGTTCCCACCACTGTGAATGTTAACCTGCTTTTCATAGAATCACAGAATAGCCTGGGGTAAGAGGACCACAGTGATCATCTAGTTTCAACCCCCCTGCTGTGTGCAGGTTTGCCAACCACCAGACCAGGCTGCCCGAAGCCACATCCAGCCTGGCCTTAATGCCTCCAGAGATGGGGCATCTACAACCTCCTTGGGCAACCTGTTCCAGTGTGTCACCACCCTCTGTGTAAAGAACTTCTTCCTAATATCTAACCTAAACCTCTCCATCTTAGTTTAAAACCATTCCTCCTTGTCCTATCACTATCCATCCTTGTAAACAGTTGTACCCCTCCTGTTTATATGCTCCCTTCAAATACTGGAAGGTCACAGTGAGGTCTCCCCACAGCCTTCTCTTCTCCAAGCTAAACAAGTACAGTTCCCTCAACCTTTCCTCATAGGAGAGGTGCTCCAGCCCTCTGATCATCTTTGTGGCCCTCCTCTGGACCTGCTCCACATCCATCTTGTGCTGGAGGTCCCAGGCCTACTACTTTTGTTGTAAGTCAGTTGTGTAACATTCGACATTGCTGTTAGTTTTCCACCTAAATCACGAATCCTCCTAGCAAAATAATGATAATGATAATAATGAAGAAAAAAGTCTGAAGTTGCAGAGCTGATAGGAATCTCCTATTGTGCTTTATTGATGGGGAAAAGACAGCAGGAGATGCACCTGTTGAAGAATGGAATCCCTTTCATCTTCTGTTGTTTTTTTTTTTTTATTGCTAGTGTAACAACAATCTTAAATCTGCTTTGAAATTATTTTTTTGACATTTTCATCTTTGAAGACCATTTCTCATCTCATCTGCTGAGACTGAGAAAGGGTTCATTAATATCTAGAACTGGCGAGGAAAAATGGAATTAAGCAGACAAAAATAAGAACAAAAGAGTTAATAAGGATGAGAAAGATTGTTTTTTGATTTATGTATTTTAGGCATCTCAGATAAGTTCTTTGCCTGATGCAGTGTTGATGACATCTCTTGTTCTAAGATTCTCTGATAAAGTTATTTCATGCAGTGTTTGAGTGGATGTGCAAAGATACAAGCAACAAGTAAAAATACAAAGAGGTTTCTAAGAAATAGGTTGGTTGTGGGCATAAAACAACATGGCTTCTTTGACTCCAGACACTTGAAAAGAAGGCTTTAATGGCTTCATTCTCAACTGTTGTAAGTTGTTATACATCAGTTGAGGATCTGCCATCAAACCTCTCATTTGTTCAGAACTTTTGCTGTTCATGCTCATTGTACCAGAAGATCTTTCACCTGGCTTCTTGTTTCACTCTATTATGTAGAGTTATGTGGGCAAGTGTCCTTCAGACTGGGAAAGATAGAGGATATAATAGCAAACGTTTGGTCAGCATGAAGTATGCATATGGTTTTCCTTCAAGCGCACAATGTACTTATGTACTTTCTTTTTCCAGACAATTTTATTTAAAAGTAGCCTTTTCCAGGGCTGCAAAACTATTAGAAATTTAAAACTTATGTGTATGCATAATGAAAGCTGTTTCTGTCTTTAGTCATTTAGGTTCTTTTAGCTTTTTATTGATGAAACAAAATGGCCATGCATATTAATGTACACCACTATGAAGCACTGACTCATTCAACCTATCTCAGCAAAGAAGATGCCAAGATTTTGAGTCCTTCCTGCATTTGCTTCCCAAAGGAGATGTTACCTTGTGCCGTAGAATCTTTATGAGGAAATTAAAGCAGTTCCTCCTGCACTTAAAATAAACAGAATCTTCGATAACATTCACCTGAGGATTGTAGAAATGGCAGCACACTGGTAACACTTTCCCTTCATGCCAGTTCAGAGAAATAAATTCACTTCTAAATTTTATTTCTCTGCATGAGCTTTCTCTATTCTGAAGTGTATTTATGGCAGTTTCTGCCTTGCCAGATTCTTCCTGGAACTATAAAATGTTTTCACTCAGTACACAGAAAACCTAGGAGCTTTCTTTCCTGAAAACTTCATGAAACTGCATCTTAGAAGGCCAACAGAAGGCAACCTGAAGTGGAAACAGTGTTGGTAACATGTTCTTATAGATGGGATTTGTAAATTTTATGCAGATGATATTCTTCTGTGATCGATATTCCTCAGCTGCAAGAGAAAAAACTTTGCTTCTAGATCCAGTCAGTATGGTGGCTTCAAAGATTAAATGTGTAGTTACTGCTCAAGAATGCAAGTTCCTCTGTGTAGGTGGAAGCACGGGGAGACCTGTGAAATACCCTGAGGAATCCTGGAGCTTTAAGGTCCAGTTTTAAAGGTGCTCTAAAAATACCATTCTGGCATTCTCTGTTTGTTGTCACAGTTGCTTCCACTTTAAGCATGCTCAATAAACAAATAAAAGATGTTTTTTTTCTTATTAACATCACCTGGGGATCTGGCACCAGCAGGGTGATTTTTCTCAAGCATTCACACTTAAAGTTAAATCCTCTTGCTAAATCTTACTTGTCCTGTGAGCTGTTTTGCATTTGCACAAGTCCAACTGAGGACTTAATCAGAAGGTGGTGGGAACCCAGCAGTGAATCTGTATTTTTTTCCTGTTGTCATTATAGTGCTGTGTGAAAAGCACATTTTGTCTTGATTGTCTCAGGGTAAATTTTTCTGCCTACGTTATTTAAGGAGGAAGCCTGTTCTTGCAGTTTGACTGTTTTGCCACTGCACAACAAACATGAAAGCCTGTGTAACTTTTAATGTGCTGTTTTGCAGGGCTGTTGCTTTCTCACTGATATTCACCAATGGTTCACATTCTGGCTTGATGCTGAGCACTGACACGTAATGCATGTGAGTTTGGAGGAGGAAAGGGAAAACAGGGAGTTTTAGATTCATGTGGTGAAATCCAAGAGGAATGCTTGTCTCCCTTCTTGAAGAATTTGATTAGTTGTTTCTATGTGCAGTCATAAAGTTATTTGACTGCTATACACTGGAGTGCATGGGGTGGATTTTCAGAGTAGCTCACAGAGTTGCTTGGTACAGTTTTTTTAAATGAGGATACAGTAGGTTTGAGAGAGTGGCCTTGTCAAATTCCAACAAGTCTGCTTTTGGAAGACTGCTGTCCTAAAAACTGTATATAGACCTGTACCAATCACAGTTAGAGATTTGCCTTCAGGCTTTGAGGTTATTGATCTCTTAGGTCTTTTTTCCTTTGGATTTGGCACTAAGGTAGGTCAGGAAATGATCAAAATCTTTAAGGGACCATTTCTGAAGTAACTGCCCATTTGCTGCCTGTTGTCTCCACTTACAAATCAAAAAAAGGATTCAGCACCACGATTATTAGGTTAAATTTCTTCAGATATCGCATGCCTTTGGGAGGCTGTGAATTTGCATTATTTTCTTCAAAAGTATTGAAGACGTGGAATTTATCATCTAGAAGGACACGAGTCATGGAAAATAGTATGTTAAATTTTACTGGTTGTCCATAAATGCACACAGCTAATGAAATCGTCTGTAATAAGTAGCAGCAAATTTTGAAGATTCATTGGAATGAAAAAGAAGACCCAAGGATCTTTTCTTAGGCCTGTTACACTTAAATGAGTTATCAACATAAGCTTTTCTGGGGATCAGTGGTATTGAAATGTCTCTTGCAGCAGATTTCTTGTGAAATGGCAGAACAGCACAAATTAGAGTATCATCAGTTGGAGCAGATGTTTTTATAGGGTATTGTCAAACCAGGAAAACTTCTCTCCCTTTCTGTCTGTGGAGGTGATAAATCAATGATGCAGATGATTAAACTTTCTGGTGATTTGAACTGGATATGGATTTTGGCTTAGGCATGGAGTTGAGTGTTTTTTTCCAATACCCAACTCTCATGTTGTAAAGCATCTGAAAATGTCTCAGTGCTTCATTAGAGAGGTTGTGGCAAAGACATTGCTTCTTGAAGTTGTTGTTCTCTTT